AGAAGTTCACCATCGATAATCATGGACCAAACAACCTTCGAGCCCTTTAAATGACTAGCGTCCAGGTTGTCCTTGATGACGGCCTCGCTGGGTCCATCCCAATTTCCATGAGCCAGGTAGACGAAGCACTTCTCCTCTCTGAAGAAGGCCTCAATCTCTGCATCTTTTCCCAGCGCCTAGGTTAGGCACGGGCACAACTGCCGAGTCAAGGAAAACAGCATGAATCCAGACCCTGTGTGCAAATGCCGTTCACGAAGCAATAATTGTCAGCCTAGTTGCTCTCATCGCCGTCTCGGCCACCATCTTGCGATGCTTGCGAGCATGCTGTGCATCAGTCATGAGGCCTATTGGAAATCCCTGTCAGCCCAAAATCTCTGGTAATCGAACCAATCAAGTGCTCCCTTGCAACATGCTTCCGCCGATCAACTTGAGCACACAGTCTGTGCAGGGCATGCTCAGCAGACCTTGCCTCATCCCCGTTGCGACGATGCCGCGTCAGAGAAGTCGAAATGGGACCTGGGCGGGCCAAAGTATGTCATGTGATCTGCCAGCTGCAAAGACGATCAGAAGCCTATGCAGGCCAATGTTTTTTCCACGCGCTGCGGAATCGGAAGAGCGCCAGCCCAATCCACACCCCAGTGCCAAGGGTCAGCTGTCCCTGAGTCCCTGAAGATATTCTGGAAGCCTGATTGACTGTTACTATTATTTCGCCGAAGCTAGTAACTAGACCCCTGGCCCTAGCTTGACCCCTGCCCCTGGCCCTGTTCAGCCCTCAGCCGGGTCAGCTCATCTCGCAGCTGGTTGCGTGCACGAGCTCCTTCTTCCAATCTCGTCTCCAGCTTGCGGATTTTGAGGCTTCTCACCTGGTCTACTTAATTGTTTGCTATCAGCCTAACCACCCTGTCACTACTTGAAGACAGTCAAAAAAATGAGTATGCATGCTTCCATGTAACTTGCAGCTCCAGCTCGTTCTCATTCAACTCCTTCCGCATCTCCGAGTGCTGGCCCCTGTATGTCGCGACCGTCTGTTGGCACGCAGTCTTAGCGTGAATTAAGAATCGAAATGAAAAAGAAGGCCCAACCCTTAAAGTTAAACCCTAAACCCCCACTAACACAAACTGGAAACAATGAATAATGACTAAGCTTCGACAACCTTGCGCTTCTCTGCCCTGACGCGATCATCGATGGTCTCAGCTGCGTCACATACAATAAGAAAATGAAGGGGTACATTCGGGTGCATCCGAATGCAACTTAACCGGAAACCAAAATGGCTATTAAAAGGAAGCGGGAAGCTTTCTGGATGGCAGAAAGTGCGTCCCGAACGCCTGCCAGCATCAGCTGCAATTCACGTTGGTCCTGGGAGGCTGAAAGAATGCATCTGAAAAATGGACGCGATGGAACAAGGCTGAAAAGGAACCCTTACATTATAAAGCTTTAAGAAAAGGATTTGTGGCCCAACCTCGTCGGCCATGCAAAGCGATTCCTCCAGTTCGAAAAACCTTTCGGTGATCACCTGCAAGGGTCATCAAGTTTTGAATGCCAACCCATGCCCAGGCCTATAGCTGAGTTGCGGGGAGACTTAATAGGGAGGGCTTGGATTTTGGATTGGAGCCCACCTGGAGCTGCTCGTCATGCTCCGTGCGAAGCTGCGCAATCTCCTGCTGGCGTTCGAGGTCATACAGCTCGGCCTCCTCCAGCATCTGCTGTCGATCTCGGAACTGCAGGGGCCGCTTTAAGCTCATCCGCAATCCAACCCCCAAAATTTGTCAGACCAAGATAACAAGCCCTCACCCTAGACGTGAGATCCCCAAATTTAGGCCTACAACCCTAAGCAGTTAACCCCATGTTTTGGCAACGCCCGACAAGCCGGCGAACGAGATCCTCAAGAGTCTGGATGCGATAGTGCGACTCTTCCAGGCTCAACGGCAGAGCTTCGCCCCCAGTCGGGTTAGGAATGTAGCCGAAACCAAAACCCTCCAGCTCCATGGCAGGCAGCACGTGGCAGACTACCAATGACGGATGATGCCTATCATGGTGATAGAGATGGTGATGGTGGTGATGGTGATGGTGATGGTGATAGGAAGACTTCACTACCCTATGTCTAGATATCTCTAGAAGTCCATGCATCTGAGGTGGTATCGGTCAAGTCAATAATAAGAACTAATGGTCTAATTTGTTGGCAAATGCTTGGAGACCTGTGCTTACTTCATGAGGGGTTTAATTCAAGGTGGGATGGGTTTGACCTTGCTCACCTGAGTCGGGCAATGTGGTACCTGAACCATAGACCTAGTGTAGTTTTGCGAGAATGCTACAGGCTAAACTCCTAAACCATAATGTCACAAATAATAAGTAGGTAGAGCATTGATACACTCTTCCCACCATAATAACCGCCCCGCAACACTATGTGCTGCAGCGCTGCTACTTGCAAGGCTAGCGTGAACCAGATGGCCCAGTCAGACAACGGCCTCCACGCCCCTACTGAAGCAGGTTTGGGATTTGGTTTTGGTGCCTGTGGATGCCTGTAGCAGGGGCCGCTTTGGAAACTAGCCCTGGGTCGAAGCAGTTCTGATACTCCTTCAAGGCCCAATCGAGTGCTAATCCTTAAGGCATGTGTTACCTGCTCACTCTAGACCACGATGACCAACATGACCACTACATACCTCTTCGGGTAGGGGGCTGCGAACCTCCTGATGTAGTTGATTCTGTTTAGGTGCAGGGTGACCCCGGGGATCAAAGGATGGGAAAGGATGGGTTATCAATATCGAATGGGGCTTTTAAAGTGATGACCGGGTTCTTTCGGATTTTGCAGGGGTGAAGCATTAGGGGCAAACTTACGCAAATTCAATTAGGATCTAGCTTAAACTGTTTTTGGATCCCGATATAATCTAGGCTTGATGAGGGGTGGCTTGGATGATCTGGGGACGAAAACCGTAAGTGAAGCCCAAAACCGTCAACCCTTGCCTGAATTTTGTGAAGTTCCTACAAGCTAAGCATATAATCAACCCTAAAACCGGAACCAGTATACTAGCCTGCAGCCCTCAAGCGTGGAAGATGAGTGCCTGACGCAGCTCAGGATTCCGGATGGCGATCTCGATCGGAAGGCTCGGCCTCGGCGGGCAAACAAAAGGCAAGAGCAACCAGCAAGGGCAACGCGTGCACAGAACGTCCTAGCTGTCCTAGCCTCTTCTACCTAGTTCCTAGCCTAATCATTAATTAGCCTAAATCCTAGTTAGATTAGATCCTAGGCTAACTAGCACGGATCACCCACCACCTGCCCCGGTCCTAACCTAATGCCTTCGATCCTTTAGTTAGCCTACGGCCTACTTTAGCCTAAATATCCTAGGTTTTGCGGTTGACGGACGGGCCCACCTCCATTTCAAGCCTCAACCCCCTCCCCACTCCCGCACCCCAGCCCCCTCCCTACCCCACTCTGTTTCCCCCCTTCCACCCTCCCCAAAAACAAATCAAAGGCGTCTAGGCACCTTTTTTGAGAGACCCCTCCCCACCCCCCATCCTCCCCAAATAAATGTTTATCCTAGCAACTAGCCTAATTCTAGCTGAGGTACCTAGCCTAGCGTTTAGCCTAGTCTACCAGCCTAGTGTCTAGCCTACTGTCTAGCCTAATGTCTAGCCTAGCTAGCCTAGTTTCTAGCCTACTTTTAGCCTAGTGCGTGCACCATCACTCTGAGCCGTCCGCAGCCAGTGAGGTCGTCGAAGTCGTCCAATCAAGCCTAGGTGTGAGGGAAATTCTCGGATTTGGGGGAAATGTTTTAGGGTTTATCAAATTAGGGCTTGACAGTAAACGTAATGGTCTTAGGGTCTGGGCTTGGATTCATAGAGGAAATTTGGTGCATTTCAGGTTGCATGGGTTTGGGTGGAGGGCTGTCCGCGTTGCAATTTGGGATTGAATAGCTTATTATTGAAAGGGAAAGCAAACCTAACATGTGGTTTTGACAATAGAAATAGTTAAGAATAGTATTTTCTCAGGTGTTGAATTCAAGACCGAAGAAAAAGAGCATGCTACGTGATTATCATTCGTCGGGTTCGAGGAATAGATTCTAATTCAAAGTCCTAATGGAGGAATAATATATAATCAGTTTGCCAAACCTCACGCTAGGAGTACAAATCGGTTCCCGCCATAATTGGCGGGAACCATTTTGCAATTCGGTTCCCGCCAAAATCGGCGGGAACCATTTTTTCTTTAAATATATTATGATTTCAAACAAGACCTTGTCACTCCACTAACATAATGTAATTGTTCAACAAAGAAATAATTGCAAAGCATACAATTTTCAACCTTATACCTCAAAACTTAACACCTAAATACATCAGAAATATTGAACGACTTCCGAATTTTTAAACTTGAAAACCAAATTCTGCTGAAAACCCAAATTCCCTAAGACTTCCTTCTAAAATGCTCCGACCCACAAAAATCCCTAAAGCCTCTGATTTCCCTGAAGCCCAAATCCTAAAACCCTTCCCCCTCTGTCAAGCCCAAGCCCTAAAACCATATACCTGAAACCCAACCTTTCCAAACCCATATTCTGTCAAGTAGCAGTGTCCATGGAAGAGCTCGAGCACGTTCACGATGACGATGGGATTAGGCGGGGGTTCTGGGTATTCTTCGGGTGTAGGATGATTAGTTTGCCGGGTCTTCATTCAGAGTTTAGGGTTTAGGGTTTAGGGTGGGATTGAATGGTTGTAAAGGTTGTGGCCTGGGGTTTGCTATGGGATGATCTCAAGTCTTGAACCCAAAAGCCTGATACAATCATGAAACCTATTATTTGATATCATGCTATGTAGATGATAGTCCCAAAAATACACCATTTTAAAAAGGGTAAAAGGGCAGCACTCAGGGACCAAGAAGTACTGAAACTTTAGGTTTTGCCATTTTTTCTTCTGTGTGAATCCCTATCAGTTTTTTGTTGATCCCTATCGATGCCTCTCCCATGTACTGAGAGGTTCCCTGCTAGCTGTCTTTCACTGTGAAATCAGGGCACCTGGAACTGAACGCCCAGTTCGTACAGGTTCTGCTCGCCTGGCAAATGCACAAACTCAGTTGGAAACTGAAAGCGTTTGGTGAGATGCATCTTTGCGTTGTAGCACTGCTTCCGGGTGACCCAAACCGATCGGCCACCAGAGTTTGATGGCAGCGGCATCGGCAGCAACCTGTAGCACTCTGTAGCGTAGCTGTAAAGGGAGCCCCAGGCTCTGCAAAAATCTCAGCCAAACTGGAAGCTCGGCATTCTCAGCATCTTCAATCATGCGAATTCTGCACCGAGCGCTTCAGTCCAGAACTATCCCCACCTCCAATGTGAAGTTCGAGTTACCAGCTGGTACCGAGATCCTGTGGCTGTCGTGTTGGAGCCTGGCGATTGCAGTCAGCAGCTCTGTGCACATTCTAGGGATTCGTGAGCTTGTCAAAACATAGCAGGAGCGAGATACGAAGCAGCCGCCAGGAGAAGAATCTTCAGAATGTCGGCTTGCATTACAATTTAGCTGAGAACACTCAAGGCGCAGGACACTTCGCAAGTTCTCAGCAATTCCTCTACATCACCAAAAAAAAAAGCGTCTGCATCTACCCAACCGCCACAACATGGAGAGTTTCATAGAAATGCGAGAGGCTAGAGCGGCTAGAGCTAGCGAGGCATCATTGCGAGTCACAGCAAAATCGAAAAGCTGTTGCGAGGATGCGTATTGAACATGTTGGAAGCCAGTCACACAAATGGGAGGAGCAAACAGGGCCAAACGGTAGAGGAAACTCTGTGCAAGAGCGCCTCCCGATACGAGTTGGCTCTGTGACGAAGAAACTGATAGAGGTTGCAGGATGGCCAAACATGGCTTCAACATGAAAGCAAACAACATGATCAACGTAGACGCACAGTGATGCAAGCGGGAAACAGCCGAGCCAGGTGGTACGATGGTCCAGGCTCAGGGTCCCCGTACACCCTTTTCCCTCGACAGCAAAGTGGTCTTGTTATCAATGGTTTGCAGCTGGAAAGTGTCCAGTCCATGGCCACAACTCTGGATGTGCACGAAAACGTGAACCGATCGCTTGGAAGACTGTTCGCATCGCTTTTCCCCTGCAGGTTTTGATTATGTTTTGGATTTGCGCGCCCCACCCTATTGTCTGCAGCCCACGTGACGTTCTGTCTAAAGGTCGACTGCTTGCGCTTCGGCGTTACTCTTGACAAATGCTGGAACCCTCGGGTGCAGTCGTCCTGCATCTTTCCAAAATCCAGGCGATGGGAACCGCAAAAGCACAAAACAAGACAGTGCAAATGACTCAGAAGGACTCATAAGAACTCATAAGAGCAACCATGAGGCCCCCTCGACAAAAAACAACGGCTTTGTACTCCATTTTGACGCTGCCTGACCGCTTGAGGTGATACAGGTTCTCGAGCAGCCCTAGTGGAACCAAAGCCTTGTAGTAGTTTCCCAGCCCAGCTGTCCAATCTGTCCAAAGCTCATATTCATTGCGTGCGAGCGACAATTTCCAAAAACAACAAAGCAGTTGACTTAGTTTTCGACACATTGGACTTTCGTCTGATTCTAAATAAATGATTCGGACGACTGTGAGCTTTGCATTCATCGGCACACTCAGCATTGACATCCTGATGTTGGGCCCCGGCACCCGCACGCATGTCAGGAGTGTAGTTGAGCAAGCTACGTCGGGCTCCAAGATGGAAGATGGACACATCTGAGAGATTTGAACCGATTAGCAAGACAGCCTGGCGACCGTAGAGATTCCGTGCAGCATTGCTGGCACAGCCACAACACGATTCAGCTTCAAGTCTAGCTTGCACAATGATTTTTGCTCGTGTAGAACCAACATTATTACAGAGCCAATTAGCGCGCAATTTGGAGGATAAGGTGCTCCGCGATCGAGCAAAAATACACAGCCAGACATGTCAAAACCAACAGATAAAAAGGCGCCACACCCTCAGTTGCGGCAACTGTCAGCTTCGCGCTGCGGCATGAAACTCTGAATCAAACACAATCTTGTGGACTGCAACCAAAGCAAATATTATCAGACGAAAGCAATACAGGCACAGGCGGCAGCTGCTGCCGGGTTTTAGCTTCACTGCTCCAAAAATGAAGCATTTGCTGCTGCTTGGCTGCGCGGCCTCCAGGAGGGGAGAAGGGAGAGCGTGCCGTTGGCAGCTGCTGGGGCCGACAGAAAGACCTTCACCTCAAAAGCAGCTGCTTTCTTCTTCTCTTCTGAAATGCTCACCTTCATGACTTTAGCGCAACCATCACGGCTTGGGCACAACTCTTGCAGCGCTTGGGGCGCTCGACTGTAGAGGAACTAGAACTATCTGCACCTAAATCTACCGATTGAAGCACACGACGCAGTTGCTTACAATGACCAAGCCCCGATCCTCAATTTCAACAGCCTGCCTTGACATTGAAGCCTGCGTGCTTTCCATCGACAAGGGCCTGCGCTCAGTTTACGCTGCGTCCCCGGTGGCATTTATCGGCTGAAACTTTCCAAAAACGGTTGGAGGCTCTGCGGACAATGGTGGTACGAATGTATGCACCATTGCTGCATGCCGACCTCAACAGGATATGCGCCATTGAAGAAGACGTGCGGCACAACGTGAGTTATAGATGCAGAGCCCTTCGGCGTGTAGACAAGATAAACGTGCCTGGGCACAAGACAAGCAAGAATTGCTGACGCAAAACATTTGGCTCTTGGACTAAAGAAAATCTCACTGATTTTTTTGCAACGGGCTTCTTGCTGAATCCGCAAACAGCTTTCAGATGAGCCCTGAAAGGTCACATTGCAAAACTTGGAATCATCGAATCTGAGTCAAGCTGCTTCCAAATGCCGTACGAGAACGTTGTTGCACCCTCCTCTCACAGGAAAAATGCGCTGGGATGTTATGGGCAGATGACATGTCCACGTGACACGCCCTACGTCCTGCAGTGTGTTGGTATACGGGGCCCAGTCCCAGCCACCAGAGCAGGCCATGAAGCGGCCTCCAACGCGGATGGAACGGTCAAAGACAACCTGCCGGGCTTCAGGGCTTCGACGTCTGTTCTCTAGATCTGGAGACTTGGAGATGGTAAGACATGATGCGCTGGCTTTGAACACCCTTTTCTGGGAATGTACAGTACCTTGAGTGCACTGCCCTCCCAGGCTTTTTGAACACAAGCTTTGGCCAAGTGTCAGGAGCAAGAAGCAATGCATGCACCAAAACGAACATTCAGCGCCTCCAACTTATTCAAGCCATCTCGCAGATCCTCGCAACTGTTGCCAACAAGACCGCGCATATGACAATCAAAGCTGGGTTACGACATTAATGATTACAGCTTTGCCCCTCTCTCTCTCTCTCTCTCTCTTTGCGCTTCTTGGTGCGAAATCCTGAGCACACGCCCGACGCTCATGGTCTTTGCATGCGAGCTGACAAAGTAGCAGTGCTCATGAACACGAATCTGAAACCGCACTCTCCCCTGCTCCACTCTCAGGAGGGTAGGTCAGCAACAGCCTGCGTGAATCGGATCTTGTCAAGATTAGTCTATTGGAAAAGCAAATAATTTTGACCCGGAGAATCAGCTGTCCTCTGGGCTTAGGTCGAAGGTATAGCGGATAAACTGGCTGGTGGCTGTCCCGAGAACTTTTCCATTAACCTCAGCTACAAGGCAGCTCAATGCGCAAGGTCTTCGTCAAGGCCAAACTTTCTCAAGTCAAGTGCAACACATCACACACGCCATGTGTTGACCACCCTGATTCTGATGCCCTTGTCTCTTAGCATCCATTTACCAACAACACAACATTCCCAATACTGGCTATCAGGCTAAAACTGCATGCTAGCCTGAATCACGGCGCCCATCTTGATCCCGTCAAAGACCTGGGCAGCTTCGAAAGTTTCAAGCACGACTTGGTAAAGGCAGCATCCCGCTTGATCTGTCAAGCCTCTGTCCTGTCCATGAATCGAACTTGCACAACACTCAAAAAGTAGCCAAGGAACGAGCTGCAGCCTATTTGGGTAAGCTGCATCGAGGCCGACCAGCCTGTGATGGTGTAGAATTGGCAAAACTGACATATCTACCTCTCTTGCATCTTGAGCCTCTTAGGTTTGGTGTTCCCAGATTTTGCTGGGACATCCAAGGTCATTCCTTTGCTGCGCTCCATGCTGCTGGACTTGCGCAGACAAATCATTCTTTTGGAGCTTCTGTGTTTGCCGCTTTCTGTGAAGCTTCTGCCTTTGTGCCCACACCTGGTTGTCGGGGGGTGGCGGCTTGCTCGCGTCGCTAGAGCGAGGTGAAACAGCCGGGCGCTGAGATGGATGGCGTTTTGTGTCTATCCTAATCCTAGGTGCGTCCTGAAATTTGACCTCCAGGCTTGTGCTTCTGTTCATCTGAAGCGGCCACCCTTCTGCTTCCGTTTGTGGTCGCCAGCGCTAGCCCCCAGATTCTGCTTGGCTTTCCACTCGGCATCGTATGTTTTTGAACTTTTGCGGCCCTTCGGTGCTTTCCAGCTTCCGAATCTCTGTCCTTGGGGCTCCTGACCAGCTGAGTAGCCGTCTGCGCCAGCTTTGTTGCCCGTGCTTGGCGGTGTTCGTTTGGAATATGGGGACAATTGCCATTTCCCCCCTCCCGGCTGTGGTGTTGTTGGGGGTTTGGGGTTTGGGGTTAGGAACATCCGGAATGTGGAGAATTGGAGCCCCCAGCGTGTGGTCCTGTGGCCTGTACTCTGGAGGGGCCATAGAGGATTTATAGAAGGCGTATACCGAATGAGGATTGCCCCGATCTCTATGAACATGATTACTTCAGAAACGTGACATTTGAAAGCGACGACATTTTGTACCTTTGAAACGATGGCAGCTTTGAGGCACCAAAAAATGCAACCCCAAGGGGCCCCATCCCTGTGACTGCTGACACCGTTGAAGCACAGCAGGGCAAGAATGGGGAGGATACCATGGGGAGGCTGGCGAACCAAGAACCTGTGTCTCTCTCGAGTGTTCATGCGGCAGACAGTGGACTTCCCGTACGGTCTTCAGTTCCGAAAGCAGACCATATTCATTCAAATCAAGGGGCGCAGGATTCATGACGAAGCTCATGAGCTTACATACGGCAACACATAGGACAAATTCTAGGCATGTTCATAGCCTGGCATGAACGATATGTTGTTGCAGATAGTCATGATGATAATGATGAAGGCAAAGGTAGCCATGAATCATAATCATATGTTATTGTTTTGCTTGTGTATCCTGCTAGAGGGCCTGAGCAAAACACTGCCAGGAGGCCCGAATACGGCTCATACAGTTTCTCAATAGTCTGCAACCGTCAAGTCATTCTTATGCCTAGTGAGAAGAAAAATGTTTCACAGATAGCGACCTGTCGAACTAGACCCTGGCCGCACCTGGTGTCCACTGTGAAGTTCGTGGTGAAAGTCCAAGTCTGCTGGTCCCAAATAGCGCTTTTGAGAAAGTTCAGCTCATACCTCAGGCTGTTCCTTCTTTGAGTGCAGAAACACCCTGATGCAGGCTTCCTCATTGCGTTAAACAAAGCCTTGGAGTCCTGTTGCTCTGCAGGCAGGACTCGCATACACACAGATGCCTTTGCTGCAAAGACACAGTGGATCCCCAATGTGCCCGGCCACCTCAATCCAAGGGTTGCAATGAGCGTGCAGGAGATGCTCGGATCGCAGGTTGAAAGCTTGCCCTACATGCTTGCCGTCACTGAACCTGCTTGCAGAGTCTGAGAAAGCCAAGCAAGAATTCGAACACCAAAAAACCACATTCTGTTAACATCCCTTTGAACAGTTGGAAGTCTTCTGTCCGGCTCCACTCACATCAGCAAGACCCTAGCGCAGTTGGCCAGTCCCTTGCCTGCAGGTCGGTCAAAAGGTCTCCAGGAACCTGCGCCTGAGGTTGACACGTCTCTTTCGCTTGTACCGGGCAGACACTCTGCCTGCCTTGATTGTGAGAGGAGTCAATGAGGCCGTTGAATTTCCAGACGAAGTTGCAACCTCCAGTCCGCCCCGCGTTGGATACGAAATGTGCTAGCACAATTCGCCGAGACCCTTTTCTGGCCAGATATCTTTTTGTCATGCTTCCGACATCTGCGTGCCCTTGTTCAGCCAAAGATGCCCACTGATGGCCACAACTACCTGGGAATTTGCATCTGAGTACACAAACACACGTCCAATGCACTTGCTGCTACGCAGCTACCGCACTGTCAATGCACGCGGCTCCTTCATGAGTCCTTCATGAGTTTGGGCCATGGACTAAACGTGACATGGCATTACCATGCATCTGATACCCAGAACTAGACAACAGTCTGCACCAACACAAGTGTTGTGCGACGACGCTGCTACGCTGGGACCTCCAGCTGGAGGCTACAGTACACAAGCACGCTTTTTGGTTGCCTTCAAGACCCCCTGCTCACTGAGAAGACGTTGCATCCAAGTGTCCTGTCAAGTACGTTACCTGATCAAATCGCAACTAACTGTAGCACTTCTGCAACGCATCTCCACACGCTGAGCCCTGGACTGTCCCTGCGCCCGGAAGGACCTGCCAAGGCTGTGACCACTTCAAGCAGCTACACGCCCAGAGCACACGGGTGCTTGCAAAATGCTACAGCAAGCTGTCTAGCCACAATGACCCAGCAATAGCAGAAGATGCAGACGCATTTCGTAAATAAAACAACTTTGCCCCAGTCCTGAAAATTTAACTGTCTCAAGCGAGAAAAGGTTATCCAAATGTCAAATCCGTGCGCGCAGAAGTGGATTGCCTGTATATGTACCATTCCACCAGATTAAAGCATGCCAAAATTGCATGAAAGAAACCGCTCTCGGCGAATCAACGCAAAATCCATATGCTACCACAGTGGGTGCTTTTCTGCGCTTGAGCTCTGCAATGCCAAAATCCAGCATCAGGATGATGACAACTGGGCAAGCAAAGTGATCCAACAAAACACCCTGGCTCCAATTCCAGACCTCAGCAAGGTCATCAGGCCGGCAGGCCAGGGTGAATCCCACCACCACGATGCCGACGAGACAGACGTCGTTGAAACCCATGCCTGACAGTTTCTGCTGGTCGCTTACATGAACAGTGACAAGCTCGCCGTTCAGGAAGTGTGCTGCACGCATCACAACGTATGCCTGTGAAAGGTCTAAATTGTGCGGCGTGTAATGTCCGAGGGATTCAAAAAGCGATAAGCTTGCAGTGCGGTATGTGCTGGGCTAAGCAGCGCACGGCCTTTCTTTGGGTTTGGAACAACATATGCGTGGAAACTCATCTGCGGGGTTGTGGTGCATCCCTGCAATCCACGAACACAAAGCTCATTGAGAAATTGTTGATTAAAAGTAGTGCGATACTTAAATGAACCCAATGCAAGCATCAGAGCCATTCTTCACACTATGATGTTTTGGCGTCACTCTGGACCTGGAGCTGGTTTTCTTCGTCATTCACACGTATACGAGGAACCACTACCTACATAATTACTGCAAATACAAAACTTGAACAGCCTGCTGTGCAAGTGTTGGCAGCGGTGCCGGCCTCGAAAAAACTCTTCAAATCCGTTGCGTCGTCCAAAAAGCAGTTCGACCCCGACGAGCAGCTGCTACTTTAAGGGTGGGCGGTTCAACTTTTGAAACATAACATGCCAAGTCACTATGCTGAGTGCCTCTCAAACAATGGCTAGATCCTACCACAAGAGCTCCGCCCACCATACATAATCTCTGGAAAATCGCATCATACCTTTTGTTGATTCTGGCCAAAAACTGGATCTGCGGGGCATGAGAGCCATTCGACAATCAAGGTCGCTCAATGACAGCATGGTTACGCAAAAAAAGCAGCAAACGCAAATTCCCGAAGCAAGCTTCAACTGAAGCAGTTGACACACATTCCAATATGACGTGCACTCAAAACGTATTCAACATCAAAACAAACCTGGAACTCATCGTGCCTGAACAAACAACAAAAAATGTTACACGCATCCGCCTTAAGACCCTCCGAAAGGTTGGCGCAAACAAAGAACCATTCACAACAGTACACTTACAAAAGCCTTACGCAACGCAATATTTTCCAGCTCACAGCGACGTTGCCTCTGGTGAAAACAGAATCAAATACGCCATACAACCGGAGGGTTTTCAATTGTTCCTAACCACACTCTCATCAGAGGCTTTCCCCTTCGCAGAATGGTTCGCATTTTGAAGCCTGTGATCCAAGGGGAGGTGACCAAACATCGTTGCCGCCTGTGTAGCCGCAGGCGTCCGCAAGCATCCGCTTAATCGGCGAGTGTCGCGATGGCGAGTCGGCAAGAATGCCGCAAGAGCTTCGCAGGAGTAGAGGGTCGCGATGATGGTAAGTCGGGGAAGGACGTGTCGGGGTCGCCATCCTCGTAGTTGTCGTCGTTTTTGGCACCGCGTCTTCGTGTCGCCTGTCAAATGCCAACAGTCACACGGATGAAGTGCGTCGGGATCACCAACCTCGTGTGTCAAAAGTGTCAACAATCACCACGATGGGGCGTGTCGGGGTCGCCATCCTCGTATTTGTCATTGTTTTTGGAGCCGCGTGTTCTTGTCGCATGTCAAGCGCCAACACTGGCAAGGATGGGACACGACGGGGTCGCCACCCTCGTAATTTTCATCGCTTTTGGAGCTTCGTCTTCTTGTCGTGTGTCGTTGGCTTTGGAGCCTCCTCTTCTTTGTGTTGTTGCGTGTCAAAAATGTCAACAGTCACAGTGATGCGGCCATTGGGAATTGTCATCCGCACAACTGTTGTCGCTTTTGGAGGAGCCTCGTCTTCGCGTCGCGTTTCAAGCGACGACAATCACAACATATTGCCACAAAAGCATGGGATTCCGATCCTCGTAATGATCTCTGTTGGGCCTTTTCTCTCACGGCGAAAATGCCAAGAATAACAGGGATGGCCCTGAGGGTTGCGATCCTCATACGTGAACCTTCCTCATTATGCTACTCCCGGCGCAGGGATGTTACAACACCTTGGCAGAGGACCTAAACCCTAGGGACCTAGGGTTCGGGCCGCCTGTCTTTGCGCATTTGAGCGGAGCATTTGGCTCGCACGGGACGGAGGGATTGTTTCCTGATTTGGGGTTTGGGCAATCAAACGGGGCAGTAAAATCAAAAGAAGAATTACACTTGTGTACGTGCGTGAGGGCATGTACCTGTTGAAGACTCGGCAGATGGCAGACACTGACTGCCTGAACTTGGCGATGTTTCTCCTTACACCATACACACTACATCCTTGAACAAACGCGCCTGCAGCAAACACATGAGACAAACCCGGACTAACCCATGGTGAGGCAGAAGTGCCAGCAGCTGTACCAGGCAGCATCTGGGTGGGGACCATCGCCAGACACTTGCAGCATCGCTTGCAATCCAAATTGCTCAAGGGTTCGATGCCATTCTGCTGGGGCTACTCTGCTGGGCTATGATCTTAGTGACACCATTGGCGACCTGGTCCTCGCCTTTGCAATAGATTGCAGGGATGCGCGGTTTGGCGGGTTGTTCGCTCAGTGAGGCAATATTAATCCGACGCACGCAGTTGCAATGATGCAGTTTCATGGAATATCCAGACACCAACACCTTGAGCAGCGTTTCGTTGCCCTGGTTAAAGACAACTTCTACTGCATGTCCAAGTAGATGTTCTAGAAGGACTTGAATGTTTTATTAATGCCTCTCCGAACATGGCAGAAGCCATAGCGATGGCCTCGGCCGCTGGTGCGCTGCGTGCTACGCTGGGGACCACACGGGGAATTTATGCTTTCCGGTGACAACTGACATCACAACGCCGCTCGTAGACTTGGCTGCTTGCGGACAGGAACCGTTTCCCAACTCCAGTCCATATACGTTCAAGCTCAATCGTCGCCAAATATATCGCAGCATAATCTATTCGAGAAATATAATATCTCAAATCAATATAAGTCTCCAGTCAGAGTCTTCAAGAAATTCTAAAAGTATAATCAGCGAGAATATGGGAGGTAAAACAATCAAGTCAAATCCCTGTGACTGTTTTTCATTGGTGTCCAACCCTGAAAGTTTTAGAATTTTAGACCAAATCTTAAGGTCCA